GAAATAGAGTGTGTGAGTTAGAAAAAGACTAAAAAAAAAAAAGGGGGGGGCGGGGAAGGGGGGGATGGACAAAAAACCACAACCAAAGCTATTCACATGCAACCTTCCATATGCTTTTTTGCATATAATGCCTTAATGCATACTGTCAATCAGCTGTTGTGGAAAAACACTTTGACTAAATGCATTTATGTTACACCCTGGAATACAAGACTGATTAAAAGCCTCACTCTTGCTGAAGCACAGATACTGATGAATTGGAGAGGTGCTTGTGCATTAGATTGAAACTCTTGAGCCTCTTTCTTCATTCCCAGTCACAGAGACACTTGGGTAACACAGACTTTCTGTCATCATATCCAGAAAAAACCCGTCTCTCGTTATCCAGGAACATGAGCTATGTGCCCCACTGAAGGTAGCCCCTGTCACCGTTCCCCTTGTTTTCAACTCTGGAGGAGTACATGCATTGTGTACAACTTACAGTCACTAACTGGTGTGCCTGGGCAGGCTGTGTGTGACAATGCTATGTCTGTCGACACCTGACTGTTGTAAACCTGTTTAATCTTTTGGTGGGTCTCTAGTTATCTTTGATGAATGCGTGGTTGTCACTTTAAAGCTTTGTGAATTATTACCACGTTTTAATTACCTATTTGTAAAACTTTCTGGTTATATTTTACACTAATCTTCAGACTCCCTGCTTAACAATGCTAGCTTCATCTGTCCTTTCTTCTCACAGCCTGACTAGAATAAGCTTTGGTTGCAGTCTGAAATATTTCTTTGCCTGTTTCTCTGATTCTGCAGTGAGTTTCTTTTATTGTAGCACTGCAGCTGCTGTTAGAATAATAGTTAAAAGCACTGCCAAGCTTCTTAGTGTTTTGAAAAGCTCAAGAACAAAATGAAAATTGGTGATTCAAGAATTATGATTTGTCATTTGGAAAATTGGAAAAGAAGGAAAACTAACCTCAGAAATACCTGGGGAGAAAGCCGGTGGTACCAGATAGAAATCCTAATTTGCTATGCAGTTATCAAACCCAATGTGAGTTGGGTTAATGCAGTTGTCTTGGAACACGTTTTCATGTGGACTTCTAAGCAAAAATGAAGAGGACTTGCACTTACATTGATACAAGAATAGTCATGTGGGGATGTATACCGCTTCCCATGTTGGCTTAATTAACTCTCTGAATATAATGATAACACTTGAAAGTTTTGTTTGTTTGTTTGTTTGTTTTTTTGTGTGGCCTGAGCTTTAGGGCACCCCATAGCAGTTACTTCTTTGAAAATGCCATTTGAAATCACGTTCCTGATGATGTTGTGTTAAAAGTTGCTATGATCTCAATCTGTTTTGTGGATGTTGTTGGCAGCTTTTTGCTTTCATTTGTTACAGTCGTTTTGGAAGTGGAAAAGTGGATCATCTTTAGGGGTTTCTATGTAATGTAAAATAAAAATGGATAAAGGTGAATACAAAATACAATGCTTATAGGGCATGCTAATTAGACAGCTATGAAAGGGGAATAAACTGTTCATGTGCAGGAAAGCAGCAATGTAATCTTTCTATCTTCCAAACTGAACTTAAAGTACTGACACTCAAAAATAATTTTTACATCATTGCATGGTATTTTTTTTGTCCTATTTCTATGCCACTATGTACTTAATCTCTTCTAAAACATGTACAGTAACCAAAACCAAAAGCAAACTGTTAACTTGCTGTCAAATTTGGACATTAGGCTTTTTTCTTTTTTCTTTTTTTTTTTAAGTCCTGTGACTCACTATCCTATTTTGAAGATGGGAACTGTTCTTATCTACACAAAACACATGTGCATACTGGCAGACCTTAGACCACTTAGCATACACATGTGAAATTGTTAGTGCTTGTGAGCTATAAACGTACTTTTCTGGTTTTGCTAGAAGTATTATTTTAAACATAAGATCCATAAAATTATTTACAATTATTTATAACCTCTCTTAGAAATATCCTTGTTGAATCAGTTCTGTCATTCTGCAGAAATACTCATATCTACCCTATTAGGAAATTTCATGGCTTTATGCAGAAACCCTGCTTCTTTATACGGTTTATTTTTTTTCTCCTGTGTAGGAATTTAAATTTAATCTGCAATTAAAATGCGTGCACTCTTTTTAGATATGAGGAAGTGATGTGTGAAGGTTGTGATCTTAAGATGTGCAACTAAAAACTGGTTACACCATTTTTATTTAAAAACAAAGAGATTTTTTTTTCCAGTAAGCCTCCTAAATAAGTAAGGAAAGGAATGGGAGAGTACTTCCCCAGTACAGATTGTGTAAGGTTTGTACAAAATACTGTAAGGCACATTCTGTCATGTTTTGGTAGGTATTAAGTAGTATACTTGCACCACATCTACATAATCACTTTTTTCTACTGACGCTTTTTTGTGGTAGTCTGTCTTCCCCCAGTCTTCAAAATTCCAGCTCTTTACTGCTCAACGGTTTGATAGACATTCTTATTTTTTAACTTTTTTTTTCTGTGTGTGTGAAAATAGTAAGTTACTTCTGTTCTGGGACCAGCTGCATCATTTTTAATGAAGAAGGACCTGAGTTCTGTAAAGATTTATCCTGTTGTGGAGGTCATTTGACTTCAGTGGTCCTGGCCAGGTCAGAGCTTAGGAAAGCAGTTTGATTACGTCAAGTTGTGATCGATGTGCATTGCTTCTAAAAGAAGGCTGCCCTTGCGCTTCCCTCTCATGTGCAGAGCAAGTATCAGTGTCCACACAATGAACTGGATAAGTGAACTCGCCTCAGTTACGAAGTGCAACCACTGTTTCTGTCCTGGACCAGATCACTTGCTGTGTGGCCAAGCAAATCCTTGTGGTGGTGAAAGGTGGTGGGAGGGTGGTAAAGGGGAAGAGATGAATGGTTCAGGGTAAGGGTGGCAGGAGGGTGCGTGGGCAGGATGGATGTTTTGTTGGCAGTGCTGGATTATCTTGATCACAGCAGACGGGAAACTTGGAAGAGCTCTGCGAGTATCAATGTGTTTTAGGACTTGTCATCCTAAATTAACGTCTTTCCTTACATGCTGCAAAGGCTCTACTTTCTCCCCTGAGGCTTTGCAAGGCAGCCATGGCATGCTGTTCTTATAGTATACTGACTGCTGTGTCATCCTTTGGTGGCTGCATAAATACAGACTATAGGTACTGACTTTTCTGGGAGTAAATAGGTAGGAATGCAGTGTCACTTCAATTAGATAGCCCTGCCACTTAGCATACCTCAGTTACTTGAGGCATTATCCCATTGCTTCCCACAATAATTGGTGAGGCAAATGGAGTTACAGATCTCTACCACTGAGACAGATGGACCATTATGGCTGGTGCTCTGTGTATGATCCATGCATGTACTGTCAGGACGTGGTCTTCGGGCTTTGCTTTTTCTCTCACTGTTGGTACTGATAGAATGCTGTACCATGCTTCTCCTTAAGCTGCAAGTGTCCATCTGTATTTCTTTTAAATGTGTTTGCTTTCTCTCTGCCCCTCAAAGGAATGTTGAAATCAGCAAAAGCTAGTTGATAACTGTTCATGTAAACACGAAGTTCCAGAAACAATTGTTGATAATATCTTACCCTTGAGCTGACTTAGGGAAACATATTATTTCTGTTTCTTTTTATGACCTGGGAGAAGAACACTAATGTTAAGTGTAGATAAACAGTAGTCTTGATTTCAGTTTTGCTTCTTCTTAGGTTCATGCTTATATCATTAGCTATCTGAAAAAAGAAATGCCCTCTGTATTTGGAAAAGAGAACAAGAAGAAGGAACTGATCAGCAGATTACCAGAGATCTACATCCAGCTGCAAAGGGAATACCATATCTCAGCAGGGGACTTCCCTGAAGTCAAGAAGATGCAGGTAAGATGATAGACTACAGTTCCACTGAAATAATACTAACTTTCCAACAGGATTGCCAAATTAGAAAAAAGTAGGACAGAGTATCTCAGCATTATATGTTAGGGTCTTCATCAGTAGACCAGCTGAAGTGACAATAAATCATGTGTCTGTTATGGGGTTAGCATGACTTGGAAGCAGTGCAGAACAAAAAAACTGGTAACCTGCTTAGTGTGCATTCACTGATGCAAGACTATAGAAATTGCCATAAGGAATCGGACCTTCTGTCCTTTTAGTCAATATTTGGTCCCTCACGGCAGATAGTACCAGAGGGTTTGTGCAAATAAAATGGTTATGGGTTAAGCTCGTTCTTGTTTTGTGTCCTAAATGTGGGTATTCATATCGCTTTTGTAATGCTATCATGCACTTGTGTAGGTGAAGATATCCTTAGTCACATATTATTCATTTTTACCCTACTCTGTTCTTGCTCTTACTGATACTGTTTGCTAGTGAGTAATAAAGGCAATGTGTTACCTGAAAAGTCCAACCTAAAGTCTCTCTCTTCTGAAAATGGTGCCTTTCAGTTTTTTCCTGTCCTTTTGAGCTTGTGTTCTATGAAGAGGAGAGATAGAAGTTCTCAATTTATACTCTTATTGTTAATATTTAAATACGTTTTGTCTCTTGTTCCTCTTTCGAACTTTATGCAATCTTACTGCCAACTTTTTGTCACTTTCCCACCTTTTTGTTTCTGTCCTCTGATTTGAGGTGAGTTGTTTAGAGAGTAAGCAAGGGAAGAACAGCTAAGGTTGTGTTAGCAATGCTTTTCAATTTATTCCTCAAGCCTCAATTTCCAACTTTTGGATCTCAGATCATAGACTTCTTAAATGGCCTTTGAATTAGAAGATAATTCAGCTCGGAAGCTGAAGAACATGAGATCAGGAGCCTGCAGTTTGGTCTGACTGTGGGCTAGTCATGAGTGTGATGGAAGATGTTTTCCAGATTGACACTTGAGTATCATTCTGACAATTTATGTGGTACGCTCACACTGCTAATCATAAAGATTGATGACTGGCTGATTAACCTATCTATAGTGATGCACAAGTTTCTTTTATAAACTAGGATATTTAACTTGGGAATCAATTATTGGCATGAGACGGTAAATTATAAATGAAGCACAAGATCTATTTCAGCTATGTTTTCAGAGGCAGGACTGTTGGAAGGGTTTCACGAGCTAGGCTTTAAAAGGGGGTTGTGTGGAAAAAGTTGACTCTTTCTTCCCTTGCTACTTTTGTTGGTGATGCGAAATGAGAGAAAGAGAGGTGATCACTTGTCAGTTTGAATATTGAAACAAAATTTGAATGGCACTTTATCAACTAATAGTGCACGTCGCTAAGCCTCAGCAGCAGATGACAGCAAATATACACATGACAGATCAGTCACTTCTGTAATGAGGAGCAAAATTGTGAGAAAAAAAATTGTGCCAAAACAGATAGCAGATTTGACCTTTGCTTTCTAAGATTTATTGCATATCATAAATTTATACTGATCAGTTGCTGTAAATCAGATGATTGTGTATAAATGTCACCTGAACAGTGATGGTTGTCGGTGGGTGGTTTTCCTCTAAGAAATCCAAAGTTCTGTATGCATGGGCAAAGCCACTTGCCTATGCTTCAGGTTTTTTGGGTTTGTATCCTTCTAGTTCCAATACATATGGGAGCAGCTCCCTGAGGTGATAGATATGATTTGTTAAAGCAGTTTAGCACCATTTTGAGAGGGGGCTTGGGGGGGTTGTTTGTTTTTTTTTTTTTTTTTAACAGTCCACTGTAACTCTCTCTTCCCGGCTAGCATTTTGCATGTAGAAATCATTTAATAATTGCCTAAAGCATTTTTAATTTTCCAGTGTTCTGGTGTAAAACATGCTTGAGCTTGTGTTGGAATAGCACATATCACCTAGTTAAACATCTCACTGAGGTTAGAAGGAGTTTATGTACTTGGCAGGGACCATATGACTTCATGAGTTCTGGCAGCACTTCTATAAAAACGCTGCTGCTGTTATCCCAACTCAGTTTTCCTTTATTGATGAAGGATACTTCTTCATGACTGAACCACAAACAAGAAGTTTAATCTGTAAAATCAGACCAGTCCTGCAAACTCTTGGATTTATTTTTTACTTTAAACACTTGTATAAGTGCTAGTAGGACAGAGGACATAATTGCATGCTTTCTTTGGTGTTTGGAAGAAAATCACCAAATGGAAAATTATTGGGTAACATTCATCAACTGCCATGTTTTTATGCATTGCCATTTTGAAAATTGTATTGTAAATGTAATTTAATAGACAAGCTCATACACTGTTGCAAAACTGTCTTAGTGTGTTTGATCAATACATTGGGTGTATGGTACACATTTGCTTCCTCTTCAAGAGGAGTTTCATTTATGGAAATGCTTCAAAAGATAACAGATTAATTTGAAGCCTATTCTTTAACCTCTTCAATGTATTGGAAATGTTTCTAACTACTGTCACTGAAACCTTTGCCATTCACAGGAGCTGTTGGAGACTTCTGACTTCACTAAATTTCATTCTTTGAAACCAAAGCTAATTGAAGCTGTGGATAACATGCTGGCCAACAAAATTGCCTCCCTGATGAACCTGATCAGACAGGAAGAGAGCAATATGCCCACAGAGATTGTACACGGTGGAGCATTTGATGGCACTATGGCAGGACCTTTTGGCCACGGATATGGAGAAGGTGCTAAGGAAGGAGCTGATGAAGATGAATGGGTTGTTGCCAAAGATAAACCTGCTTATGATGAGATTTTCTACACTCTGTCACCAATCAATGGCAAAATATCTGGGATTAGTGCAAAGAAGGAGATGGTGACTTCTAAACTACCCAACAGTGTCTTGGGGAAGATCTGGAAACTTGCAGACTGTGATGGCGATGGGATGTTGGATGACGAGGAGTTTGCATTAGCAAAACATCTCATCAAGATTAAACTGGATGGATATGAACTGCCTGGCACGCTACCTTCCCACCTGGTGCCACCGTCTCACAGGAAACCTTTCCAGACAGCAGAGTGAAAAATACAAGGAGAAGAATGAGGATTTTGGAAATCTTTCAACAAATGTGTTGAAACCACCAAAATTTGAAATTAGGCTTAGATCCTTAAACCTCACAGCACATTTCACGCAAGTTACTGAAATTAGAAGCATGGTAGCAGGAAAACATTCATGTAGCTGTCCCTGCTGACCTTCACTCAGACATGCTTGTCAGAAGTGCCTTGTATAGATCCATCGCAAGGTGAAAATGTTTTTGTAGGCCTGCTTCCATGTCTTGCTGCCTTTACAACCATAAAGCAGAAAAGACCACATATAAAAATCACTGACCTTCACCAAACCTAAACACTGATCAACCATAAGTTTCTCCAAACTATTTTAAATAGCGCAAGGAAGCTCTAAATGTTAAATTCACCTGCCTATGCAAGGAACATTTTCTATGCGAAAAACATAGTTTAGGCATCAAGTGAATTTCAGCATCTCTATAGTTTAAGAAAAGGCCGATATAAAAGGAAATTTTACTTTTGTTCTTTTTATAATTTAATAAGATGTTAGAAAAAGAGAGAAGAGTAATGGGGAGAGTCTTTTAAGTGCTCAGAACATGAGCAGACTTCTTGTTTTAAAACTTCACTAATTATAGCTAGAATTGCAAAATACTAAAATGATTCTTTCAATTTGTCATCATTGTGTCTTGCCATCTGAAGAACTGCTTCTTCAGTTTTATACAGCACTATATACTCAGTATTATCATTAGAAGAACGGAATCTCCTTTGTTTCTTGGATTTGGAGTTTCTTTTGAGGTTTCAGTTTAGCTGCTCTGCAGACAATAAATTCCTGAATTGTTCAAAGCAACAGCAGAATGTTTTCATAAGCTAAAAAAAAAAAAAATGTTTCCATTGAAATCAAGATCAAGGCTCACTTTCTGTTCAGAAGAGGTGAATTGCTCCAAGTCAGCCTCTTCAAAGCTCATCACATTGTCTTGGGAAATTTTCATTGGTATTTAATTTCTGTTTACAGGTAATTATACAATTATCTCTATATTTTTTTTTACATATAATATTTTTAAGAAATGTTTTTAACTCTTTCTTTTGCCAGCATTTAGCTGACAACCACAAAAGAGAGAGACAATTCCCATGTGGCAGATTTGAAAGATGGGGAGGCTAACAGGAATCTTTACATTGACTGTAATAAATGATAGACTGGTCCCTCCAGATAATATTCCTTTATTCAAAACAATCCGTGAAAAGGATGCTTAATAAACATTCATTTTTCTAACAACACAATCAAAGTGGAACATATCGGCTGCTTACAACTGATTTTTATCAGTACCTTAAAAGAACGTGAATTTTTGGCCCTGTGAACTTGAGTCTTACAGGGAGGGCCTGTTCTTTTCTAAAATCAAACTTGGCAGTCAGTTTCGCGCTGTGCATGTAAGCAGGAATTGACTTGTATTCTGTTTGTAGTATGAAATATCCTACGCATCAAAGGTACTGTAGTTTTGAGCACTTTTTCTTTGAGTCTCGGTAAGTGGTAGCAGTAGTGCCTTGTGACACAGAGCAAGCCAAGAAGTGTTTTAGCATCCTTGCAGTAGGGGTGGGGAGGGAGGTAGTTCGGGTGTTGTCTCCCAGTTAAGATTTTAGTCACACTTGCATATTCAGATTTGTAGCTGACCTAAGAAGAGCCTCAGCTTCTTTTTTCAAATCATACATTTGTAGGTTGTCAGCCAGCTTTAATACTTCAGATCTTTCTGGACCTCTTATCTTTCTGCATCTGTTCTATTCTGATATGAAATTACTGTGAACTTTGCCAGGGCTCTACCATGGGAAAACAATAAAGCTATTTTAAGTAATGACAGAAGAACACCTTTACCTTGCCAGGCTTCCAGCCCTGTATCAAGGATATCCTGGCATAGTTAAATTGTTCTTGAGGACTTGCTTTTTTTTAATTCTTAGGTTTTTCTCTTATTCAAGCATACCGACTTTATTTCTGTTAGACCTAATTTAGGAGCCAAATTAGCGGTAGTGCATCTCTGCACTTTAGTAGAGCTGTGAAACTTGACCATGAGTCTACCTGTGTGACTGTACATCTGCAGAGTAACTGATTTTCTATGTAATTTATTTTTGATTGAACAAAAAGTAGGCTATAGACATCACAGGAGTTGTTAAAAAAAAAAAAAAAAACAAACAACCACAAACACAGGCTGCAGAAGTAGTAATGTATGCTTGTTTGTGTGTAGTGTCTGCAGTCAGTAACAAATTCATACACTAATGACCAACCTGACTAGCTTAGTAAGGAAAGCCACCAGGAGAAAGAAAGCAAGCTTGTGTATTGTGACTACTGTAGTGTGGGCAAAGCTGAGAGGTTCTGGGAAGTTGCTGATCTTCCAACTCTGTCTGCCTTACCTTGCTCTTCAGCACCACAGGGTTCCAGGGGTGGACCCATGTTTGAGTTCCCACCGTGTGTAGCTTCCAGAGGTGATGCTCCAAATGCATTGGAGCCATGTGATCCCATGCCAGTAGAAATATCCTCCTTCAGTGAGAGGAGCAGGATAGTTTCTCAGTTATTTCATTTTATTTTTCTAGCTTTGTTGGTAGTAAAATGGAGAAAATGGCCTTTTATTCAGTCTCCATGACAGCGTGCTAACTTGGGCTTAGGAGAGACAAATTGAAATGCATCATTTTGATAAGTTAAAATATTTTGTCTAGATGGGGTTGAAATGCTTTGTTTTCCTGTAGAATTTGGAAGTGGAATGCATGAAGCATGTATAGGAGTAGAGGTGGATTTTCTCTGTTTATCTGGAGAAATAGAAGTGTTTCAGGATAGGCATGCAGAGCTACATGCATAAATGTGTTTCTGGATATGTGGTGAAGTGCACTAGCATCGTGCTTCGTTGATAGGAATAAAGTGCATTTCATGTGGACTTTAAACAGCAGTTTCTTGCACAGCTAAACTGATACAGGAGGTTGCTTTTGCTCAGGGGAAGGGATCTCTTTTCTTACTACCTCCTCGCAGACCTGTGGGCCTACTCCGTTTGCCTCGCTGGCTCTCTGGCTTGTCAGATCCTGCAAGCCCATTCAGTTAGTTAAACTAGCCACATGCAACAGTTCGGATAATGTTCTGTGGAGTTAGTGAGTCCATGTGTTAGGGGCATGAGAAGTGAGCAGGATTACCTTCTGTCATGAAAGTGTGCTCTAAGTTATTAGGAACAGCAGTATGAGGTAACCTTTGGTATTCAGTTTGATGTTACTAATAGCTGCTGAAGAAAGACTAGGATGTTGGATCTGTTGGCCGTTTTATGCCTAGGATTTTGATTACGTTTGCTGTGAGACCATTCAAAACTGTCAATAATTCATCCTGTGAAATCAGTGCCCACTGGTGTAGTCTGCTGCCATAACCAAAGTAGAGACTGCTGCTTTTACCTCTTCTCCAGCTATTCCGCAACACAGTTTTAATTCCCAACCCGAATTCTGTTCCCACAGAAATTAATTAGAATTCTGTTGTAGATTGGAACAGAAAATGTGGGGCTACTGCTCATAACCACACTACAGGACAGCGAGAGCCTTTTAGAGCTGTGACAGCTTGAAAATGGTGAGTTTACAAAGATTTTTAGGTCAGGGTGGGGTCCTGGTTGTTAGTTGGGGATGGTATGGATTTGTGTGGAACCTGGTCTCAGAGCAGCAGTATCTGGTCCTTGACTTTCAACAACATCATTCATCCCCAGTACTTGAAATGTGCCCTCTTTTTCTTCTTCTAACTTCCTTCCCTTCACAACGTGTGCTCACTTTGGTGGTTCTTTATATTGTTGGAATTTAAGCAGAGTTTAAAGTGTATGGGTTGATGAGTATGTGGAACTTAGCACTGAGAGAATGAACATGAACTTTGTTTTCTACTTCACATGCTCACCTTTTCTACTATTTTTGTTAAATACTGTGTTTTCACTTCAAAGGCACTCTGATTTTTGAGGGAAGGCTTGATCTGTGCAGTGTGCTTCAGTTTGTCCAACTAGGCAAACAAAGTTGTAAGTTCATTATTGTTGCACTTTTATTACACAATAAATTCCTTGCAGATACTGTAATATATTTTAATATGCTTTGTAATAATTTTTAGAAAGTGGTAATAAAAATTGCTGATTTAATAAACTAATATTGAACTACCTGAGATTTTCTTTTGTAAGCTTCTTTCTGGAAGGTAATCTTTCAGTGACTAGAATTTTGTAATCCTGCTACTTAAGGCTCATAGACATCGTAGCTATTTGGCAAGCTGCTTATTTTCCCACCTTGGTTTATGTATCTATAATAGGTTATGGCTATTTCTCTTCTGTGTCCTTGAACTTGTTGCTGAAATTACTGCCCATGCCAAGGCTTGACTCCAGGATTAAATTTATATTTAAAAAGGAAAAAAAAAAAACCTCCAGCACCTCTCCGTAATTAGCTTTTTATAGCAGCATGTAATTTTTGAGTTTCTTAATGTCTAAGCATGGAAATTTCTTGAAAGTCCAAGTGTGGAAGATAAATCAAAAATTCCTCCTGTCCTTCTCCTGTATACATGCAACTTACTTGCAGCATCTCCAAACATACATCTGTGCCACCAGGATGCTACAGTTTCGCTGTTGCTCCTACTACTAGCAAATCTAAGCTGCTGTAGAGTTAAAAGGGCTTGGATGTAGCAGTGTTAGCAAGCTAGGCTGTTGAGCTCATGGTGGTCATGCCATATGTCACATGAAAGCAAGTGTTTCACATGCAAACAATATGTTGTGGGTTCCTGGAGGCTACACTGCTGTTGAATTACAGTGGCTTGTTTGGACTGTTCCTTACAAAAGTCAGAAATAGTTTGGAGAAGATGAAGTTTTAATGGGCTTTGGAGGTGTGGGGTTGATTTTTTTAGTAGAATGGTGTTTTGCATACTCCACATAGAAGATATTTCAGACTTTGAAAAATTTGCAGCACATTTCTTTGTGGATTAGAGCAGAACATCTAACTTTATATTTGGACAACGGGAAAATTGGATGAATGTCCAGACTAACA